GCTGGTACTGCTAATAAAAAATCCGTGTGTAGGAGGCACAATCCCGTCTAGGGTTTCTAACTTTGTTCGCACCTGAAACACGAGCAGAAAGATCAATACATAGAAGAAAATATGTCAAGAGATACATCTAGCCATTTACTATTGATGGTGAAGGAAGTAAACTTCCTTATAGACATAATACACATGCCCTTTGAACTTAAACAGACACCAGAGCTGGGAAAGAAGGAAGAAACTCACACATTTTCTGGCTCTCAGAAGAACCAGAAGAAATAACTTATTTCCACCACAATATCCATACGATATGCCAGTTAAGTAAAACTTGGATCTTTACAGGCCATTACAGTCCACAGCTTTAAAAGGATGATAAAGAAAATTGAAATAACAAAGGGGGATTGAGACCAGTAGGCATAATCAGTTCCTACAGAACAATGGAATGAATCATAAACCAAGACCAACAGAGTTGAGTTAAGGACACACATTGTCCCATGCATTTCCAAAAAACAGAAACAAAATAGTAATCAATTACTACATATCAATCACAAGACTAAACTTCAGCTCCAATATATAACCCAAAATGTAATGAAAATGGGATGACATTAACTCAGATCGAGTTGCCCTTTCAACGAACCTGGTAATCGTTATAACCACCGGAGATTGAGACAACAATAACATTGGAGAGATCGGTAACATATGATGCAGCATGAGTACTCTGGACCTCATACCCCTTCCTCCATTCACGGTTAACATGCTCAAAATAGTGGCCCAATGATGGTTGTAGTGCCACTGGAGGTGACCTGGATCAGGTGGTCACTTTCTTTATTAGTCAATCAACTTTGTCAGACATGAAAGCCAAGCTAATACCTGAGCCACAAAACTCACTGATGTGGGGTTGAAAGTGTAAGAATAGTCTCAACAGCAGCCTTCCTCAGACGGGGATGGATCATAGCAGCTCTAGCAACAAAACCGCCCATGGAATGACCAACCAATATCACACTCTTTGGCAAACTACTAGATGCGGCAGCACCTTCCTTTTCTCTGACATCATGGGAATGCTTATACTGATCCAAAATCTGAAAATTTGAAATTATAACAAGTAAAAAAATCATGTAGAGAAACCAATTTTGGCAGAGTTGGTGAACACGTTCATGAAGGATCTCATACTTAGATTGGAATCAAGAATTTGGTAATACTGATGGTGAAAATGTTGCAGAATCCACATAAAGCTATTCGATGAGAGAAACCCATCTCATTCAGCCATGAAGGATTGACAAAATAAATTGAGCTTTTAGCTAGCAACCATTATTTGCACATTCCCTTATCAAAACTTCAAGTCATTTCATCCAAATTACTACTGTCTTAGTTTGTGTGGCATACTCCCCATTCCCCAACATTATTAAACCAACGTGACAAAAGCTGCAATACCCTGTGGATGGCATACACAACATATTCAGTGTGTTCTTCAAGTATCTGACCATCCATTGCAGAATGTTCACCTTCAAGGTCCACAGCAAACCAATCTAGCCTATTCTTGTATTGGGTGGGCAATTCAAAGCCAGCCAAATGCGTGTCCGCTCTCCCCTCATCAGAAGTCAAACCAGCCTCATGATGAAATGTGCTCTCTGGCGGACCTCCTTGGTATGCCCTATCTGATTCAGCAGCCACAGACCTTACCTGCAACGAAATAATCAGTGATATTGAGAAGCATGCAGCATGAAGTTCAACAAGAATCTCCTGCAATAAAGATTGTGGAAAAGAAGAGCCAAAACATCGAAATCCTAGTTCATTATAGTACTTGTACAAGCACCATGCTTACTCAGCTAACGCCAGTTGAAGCTAATGCCCGCCTAGATAAACTGAGAGATATCAAATGCATACGAATATCGTAACTTTCTTAGATGTAACCAACTCTACAATCGAAAAGGTTAACTAGACTCTACAATGGCCAAGTGAATCGGCGACAAGAGTAGAAAATGTTGCCTGTTTGAAGCTGCCACCATTTCCAGGGATGAAAAGAACGGGAACGCCACTAAGCTGCTTCAAATGCTCGTCGAAATCGATCTTCTTCCAGCCTTCATGGTAAAGGTACAAACCATACTTACCGGAAGCTGCAGCAGCATCACCGGCGGCCGAGATGGGAATGTAAGTCGGATACATATAAGTCATGACGCATCCATTGGAGATTGGCTTCAAAAGTGAATACAAACCGAGCAGAGCAATCCAAAGAGTTAACGCAACCACTGCGGCCAACCTAAATTTGGCCCTGAGTCCTTGCATTTCTCCCGGATCAACCTCCAGGAAATATATTCCTAAGTGGTGGAAGCAGAAGATCTGAGCCTAGGTACCAGAGAGTCGGTGATCGAGAACCGAAGCAATTCTCATAGCATTGTAGAAGAGTGAGGAGGGATGCCGCTTGATGAAGTGAGAGTGATGGAGATGGAGTGAGACAGTGGACGGTTGAAACGGACCAGAACGGCGCCGGAGAGCAGCTGGAGAGGTTCCGGCGAGCAGGAGAGATCGGAAATTGGAATCCGAAGTGAGGAAGAGCGCGAACAGAGAGTTCAGCGATGAATCATGGAGAGAGGCGATGAAGAGTGAAGACGATGAAGGAGAATAGGGCCTTGCAGGTCTTATCTGTTATTGGACCCAAACTATTGGGCTTTATGCTATGGGTTAATAATGACCCATAAACAGGGGAAGAAAAGCTCAGCTAGTAGTTCAGTGTTGTTCAATTCCTTTCACGTTGTAACTTGTAATAGAGATTGGTATGAAAATTGAAGAGTTCATCATGTGATCTTGACCTAAGTCTGAATTATATTAGAATAGAAATTGTAAATCTTTTATAAAACAAAATTTTGGCCACTTTGAAGTGATAATATTGATAATATTCTCACTAGAGGCTAAACGAAATAGTTTTGTCACAATCAATACAAGCGTGATAATCTTAGAGTCAAAAAGAGTACGCATATATAATAAACAAACCAGTGTTGTAAATCGTATTGTACTAGTTAAATAGCATACAAGATACTTGAATGATACAATCGAAAGAGAAAAAGGAGTTAGACTCAAAACTAGGATAAAAGAAATGAAGGAGATCTCCATTGGTAATGTCCCGTAATATTACATTTCAATACACGGGAAGAAAGAAAGAAGAAAAGAATTACTCAAACACATGGTAAACTTGACAACACTTACTCTAATCAGATCCTACTCTCCTCAATGAATACGCCTCTCCCCCCATTTCTTGGAAATCACTGTGCTTAAGTAAACATGAAGGTGGTTTGGGGTTTAGGAGATTTGAGGAGTTTAATCAAGCTCTGTTGGCGAAAGCGGCTTGGCGAATCTGGAAAGAGCCTAATTCTCTGCTGGCTAGGGTGCTTAAAGGAATGTATTTTTCCCAACTCCTCCCTACTGGATGCCAAGGCGGGATCTCTTCCTTCTTGGGGGTGGCGAGGGGTGCTGCATGGACGGGATTTGTTGGTACAAGGTCTTCGATGGCAAATTGGCTCGGGTGAGTCGGTGGATGTGCTAACAGATAATTGGGTGCCAGCGTTACATCCCTGTCCTCCGAAACCTCGTCATGGGATCATTGGGGTTGATGGATCTGTTGCGTCTTTAATATGTCTGAATCAAGGATTTTGGAGGGTGGATTGCTTACGTCAAATCTTTGAGGAGGAGACTGTCCGGGCTATTCTGGGCTATTCCTTTGCCTATTTCCCCAGTGCCTGATCGGATGGTATGGAACGGTGAGCAATCAGGTCTTTATACGGTTAAGTCTGGCTATCACTTAGTTGTGGAGTTGAGGAGGCAGAAAGAGCTAAGGGTGAAGGTGAAAGCACATGTGTGGGATCGTAGCCTCTGGAAAAGGATTTGGGGGTCTTCCATACCTCCCAAGTTGCGGTATTTCATCTGGCAGCTGGTTCGCAGTGTCTTGCCAACTGGTGAGGTACTGAGTACTCGGGGGGTTGGGGGGCTGGAGCCATGTCCAGTATGCGGGGAGGAGGGTGAGTCTCTTGAGCATCTCTTCTTCCGTTGCCGAGTGGCGGTAAGGTTGTGGGAAGGGGCGGAGCTTGTGGCTATCCGGGATCGTTTTCCCATCAGCAATATGGGTGTCTTTTGGCGCAGGTTGCTCGAGTGGAAGGAGTTGGATTAGGCGGCCCTGATGAGAGTTGTGGCCCTCTTCTGGCGTGTTTGGAAGGCCCGGAACTGGGTGGTTTTCGAATTTACTCAGTATATTGTCCTGGTGTTGATGTCTCAATTTCGATTGCAGGTTGCAGAATGGGTGACTTTACCCATTAGCCGGGGTTCTAGCCTTTCTTCAGGGAGCACAGTTGTCAGGGGCAGAGAGGACGTTTCGCTAGGTGGCCTGGTAATGTTCGTGGATGGGGCTACGTCTAGTGGGTCTCACTGTGCGGGTGGTTGGGTTCTTAAAGACCCCACGGGTATGGTGGTGGCGGCTTCAGCGACATTGTACGAGGGGATCTCAGAGCCGGCTCTTGTGGAGTTACTGGCTTTCCGGGATGTTGTTCGATGGTGTTTGGCGTGTGGGTTGCTTTCGATGACTTTTGCAAGTGACGCTCAAGTGATTTTGAGGAAGATTCGGGATGGTGAGGTAGTCGACGTCGCTGGGGGTACGCTTTTGGAGGAGATAAGAAGTTTGCGAAGCTTATTCCAGGAGTTTAAGGTTATTTTTGTTGGTTGGGAATGTAACAGGGTTGCCCACTTGGTGGCAAGAAAAGCCCTTTCGTTGTCCCCCTCCTTAGTGGGGTTCAATTTTGTTTCTTGGCTGTTTTCAGCTATGTGACTCTTTGTATCTGGCTGTTTTCTCGGTAATACGAGTGATCTTTTGGTGAAAAAAAAGATCCTACTCTCCTCATGAAACCAAAAGGCATATCCTTTCCCACTCTTCACATTCTTCCCCGCTCTCCCTCTCTCATCATCTCTTGATCCGTAACTTACAAAAAAAGACGCAATATCATGAACAAATGTCTTCTTCCCCTACCCTAATACGAGAAACTGTGACATCGAAACAAACTAAACTTTTTCACCCAGATCGCAACATCCTCCGCACATGCCTTAGTCTGAGGCATCTTCAGCAGCATGTCGAGGGTAGCAAACTCGTGAACTGCATCCTTGTACTCCAGAACAGGAGCATCGACATTCACTTTCCCCAATTCCTCGGAGTAAGTGATGGCCCTATCCCTCATCCAATCTTGTTCTGCCACCACCGTGAAGGTGGGCCTCAAGAGCTTCAATGGTGGGCCACCCGTGCCCGGGACGAGAGGGTTGGAAGCCGGGTGATCGAGGCTGAACTCTTCCTCCGGGAGGAAGAGCTTCCAGGTGAACAAGCACATTGACTTGTCATACAAGTACGAGTTTGCCAGCTTGATCTCAGAATGTGTTGTTATGTTACCTATGAAGAAGGAGTAAATTAGAACTTGTGCGACAACCTTGATGGGGTCCAGAAGCTTGCCTGCTTCAATGGCCTTTCTAGCTGTTTGCGATGTTAGCGCCGCAGCTCACCCCAAGAAGAACACATCTGTTTATGTAGGACATGAGACAGGGGAATCAATATCATATTCCAGTTTAACAAGATGGAGGCAGAGGACCCTCAAACATGATACCTAGAATTCACTTGAATATTATTAAGAATCAACTAGCCTAAGATGGAAGATAGAAGTGGTAAGAACATCAAAGAGGGATGGAGTGAATCATCTTTCAGCTATACATAGATACTACTACAAGTTAAAACAGATAAGACGTCGACAATGAGTCAAATAAACCTAAAGCTCGTTGTTTTTTAAGGGATGGGACTGCTCTCCAGATATTGGACAACTGCTACTAGAGCAAAAGTGGAGAAACAAAAACTGTTGGGGCAGAAATTTCACTTTTACAAAATTTTACAGGCTAAAATATGGTGCCTGAAACCTATGACCAAGAAGCCTAAACAGGGAGCACTTGCTAAAAGAGGTGGCAATTCTCAATCAAATCCACCAATCCGTTAAAAATATCCAACTAATCCAATCCTTTTACATCCAATCCATTTGATACAAATCCAATTGGATTGGTGGACTCATGGATTGGATTCATGTCATTGTCAAATTATAGTTTAGTAACTATAATTTTCATTTGTTTTACATTTTGATACCTAAAATTTAATTTTTATAGAAAAAATATCATTAAAAAATTGAGTTTTGGTACCTAAAATTTTTTATTATGACATTTTAGTACCTAAACTTTTCACATTTTACATATTGGTCCAAGGTTGAGGATGAAAGTTAGATTAATGAATAATCCACTTGATCTAATCCATGAATTCAATCCATTTGCCACCTCTACTCACTAATACAGATCCTCTCCAGAAAATTTTAAAGGCGTCGAAATCTACATTCCTGGTTCTGCTCCTCCAATCTTCAAATAGGTTAGTAAGTTTACATCATTCACCAACACAGGAAAAAGATCTATGACTTAGTTTCCCTAGTTAAAACGGCTGAAAACGGAAACATGGAGGAGATACTGCAAAGAAGCTAGCATTCGCTAATCAGTTCCAAGTTATTGCACATTCCCAAAATTGAAGAGCCTCAAACAATTAGGGCGACAGCTAATGGAGCCGAAGGATCATCAAGAAAAATAAAATTTGAATGCAACTAGCAAAAAAATTTAAAGGCTAAATTTGTCAAGAGTAGCTTTGTTGCCATGTACAACTCTCTAGCCACTCTAATCACGAACAGGACGATAGGCTTCTTTCAGCAGAGACTTTTGTTGCCATGTACAACTATCATTACCGCAGCAAAACAGAGGAAAACCTAGGACAGACGTAAGAAGTTCCAAGACTCCCAGGAAGTTAAGCTTAAAATTCAAACCCCGAATGATATTGAAGCTTCCTAAGCCAAGTATCCAGCATAGTACATAAAGTTACTACCATCTAATAACTTGCAGAATATGATTCATAGCCTAGAAACAACGAATTTCACATCCTTAATACATAGAACCACAAAAATCCAAACAAATGACCAGCATTGTGAGCTACTGCGCACACACATTGAAAAGCTTCTACCTCCAACATTTACATAAGATTCTTCCTGGTTATGGATTATGTTAAAATGAGATTAGAAAACAAAAACCTGGAAGGATCCCCATGAGCGGCTAACCAAGGTTCCACAACTGATGCTCCAAACTCGTCAACAATATGCCTATCAGCCTATGCGGACTATCAGCTCTCTTAAACTCCGTGGAGGCAACCAGGGATGGCAATTAAACTCATGATCGTGGGTACCCGACCGCCCCCGACCCAGTCAACGCGGGAAATCCACACTTTTACCAGGTATGGGGTGGGTATAATTTTAGCCTCCCCGTCCCACCCATACCCATACACTGATACACATACCCGTCCCACCAAGAAAATTTCTTCACATATAAAAAAATATGTGGATCAAATTGTAATCTATCAATGATGATGAGGATAACTCGAGGAAAAAAAAATAGTAGAAATGCAATTGAGTGACCACCCTAATCAAAACCTAATTCGTTTCCCTTGATTCTCCTTTCACTCTTTCACTTTCCCCCTTGTCAAAAAGATTATTTTAGTTAATTATTATTACTTAGTATATGTACCAGAGTTAGAGCATAATAATTTGAAAAATATTGTACTCTATGTTATGTATTAATGGATGTTTTATAATCATATTCTTTGAACCGTATTAAGAAAATGATCATTTTTTGTTGACTCCATGATATAATAGGTTCGTTTAGAGTTATAATTAAAACTTTTATTGTAAGTTTGAGGTATAATAATGTTGGATGTACGGGGACGGGTAATACTCATGGGTACCCGAAACCCACGGGTATGGGAATGGGATTGCAAAACATTCCTCGCGTATGGGTATGGGGCGGGTATGGATTTGGGTATTTGAAGATGGGAATGGGGATGGTTTAGGCAAACCCGCCCCATTGCCATAACTAGAGGCAACCCCTCTCGCATTGCCCATCGATTTGCTACATTCCGCCAAATTTGCCTGCTTCGCCAACCAATTCAACACTGTTATACCATCCTCAAAAGCCGCAGGATACTTATTATCTGGTGCCAACCTGTACCCCATTGCCACCACAATCACGTCGCATAGCTTCACAATCCTCCTACAGAAGCAAACATTCGCCACCGAGTCACTCCCACCACTCACCCATCCCCCGCCGTTGAACTGCAGCATTATGGGCAGCCTCCTTGAATTGTCCTTCACCGGCGAGTACCCCGTGTACCCTCATCCACCGACGTCGAACCTCACCTGCAACGCATTGGAGTCAATGCTGCAACCATAGCTACTCCTCCTTGAGTCCTCGAAAGACAATGATTTGCTCAAACGCACTGCGACAGATCCCGGGAGCTGGCCGAGGCTGCTCCTTTTCCAGCTCTGCCGAAAGCTCCCATTCATGACATCTCTGTCGTTTTTGTGCTGATCGAGATCAGATCGTCGAGGGGCACCGGGCTTGTTGTTGGCGGGCTTGCCTTTCATATGAAGCTTCGAATCTAGGTCGGGAGGGTTGAGGGCGGACTCCGGGAGAAAGATTCGGATGGAGAGGGAAGTGAAGGGATCGATATGGATGTCCTTGGTGGCGACGCCATCGGTGAATGAAGGGTTGGAGGCGGCGACAGACTCGTCGGGTCAGGTCGTGACGCTATAGCAGTTGGAATCAACATCGATCAGGTTGTGAATCTGAGACTGCAAGCGGTGATTCAAGAGGAACTTGAAGAACACACTATACAACTTCACCGCCACGCTCGACATTTCTTCCCCCGCCTCTTCCGGCGACCCCCAAAATGGCAAAGAACAAAAATAAGAGAGAGAAATGAAGAAAACTCGTTTCTCCTCCCTCTCTCTCTCTCTCTCTCTCCCCCCTTATATCTCCGTCAGGACGAGAGATTGAGTTTAGGGACGGACTATAGTGGGAGGATGGGGGAGGGAGAATTCTGGAGAATGCATGTGGTAAGGATTGGAATCGGGGAAATTGGGTACTAGGGCGTTGGTTTTGGATGTTTGAATTCGGGATTTGGATGGATTGACGTTGACAGGGTGGAGAAATAGCGGGGGAGGGAGAGGTGGTGGCAGTGGCTGAGGTGGAAAGAGGGGGATAAGGGTGATGATTAAGTGACAGTTCGATTGAGGAGGAGAGAGAGAAATTATTGGATGGGCTTAAATTTACGGTTTACTTTTGGGCCACCGAATTGAATGTGTTAATTGATGAATTGGGGGAAGTAGAATATAGTTAATACACTTATTTTAGAAAATTGATGTATATCATGGGTGAGGGCATAAAAGTTAGGGTATGCCTATGGTGACTTGTAAGTCACTGGAACTTGGAGAAAATGATCGACTTCTTTTATCATGTGGTCGACCACTTTACAGGAAAATGGTTGACCTCTTCCACCAAATGGTCTACCACATGAGTCATCCGGTCTACCAGTCGACCTAATGACATCACTTACCTACAAGTGGTTGACCTCTTCCACCAAGTGGTCGACCACTTTCCAAGAAAATAGTCGACCTCTTCCACCAAATGGTATACCACTTGAGTCAACCGGTCTACTGCTTTTGAAATGGGTTGACCTGATGACACAATTACCTTAAGTGGTTGACCTCTTCCACCAAGTGGTATACCACTCGAGACAGCCGGTCTACCGCTTCTGGCAATGGGTCGACATGTGATACACTTACCATCAACTTACAACTGCTTGTTGGAGGAGGTAGACCGCTTCTATCAACACATCCTACAGATTCCGCAAAATGGTTTACATATCTCTTTCGGCAAATGATCTCCACTTTCGGCTACTAGTTGACCAAATAACACAGTTACTTATACTTACATTAGGAAAATAATGGGCGATAGGAGACCAAAAATATAAAATTGTTGTAATGCAACATAAGAAATAAATATGCATAACATTTTTCAAATCTACGGAATAACATTCACTCGAGAAACATGTCATCTATGCTTGCAGCCTTTGTACAAATTTTAAATCTCTTACTAGAAAGTATATCTATTGTTATTGGACTCTAATTATATATGATGATATCACTAGCAATGGTTCATCAGGTGGATCAATTAATGAAAGAGGTGAACCGCTTGAGAAAATAGGTAGACCATTTGATGTAAGTCATAGACCATTTTTTGTATAGTGTCTTTTAGTGGAAGAGGTTGACCGTTAGTTGAACACAACAAATGGAAAATAGTACATCTGGTTGAACATTCCAACAATGAGGTCGACCATTTTGTCCAAATAGGCTGACCATAACAGTGAAGAGGTCGACCATTTTGTCCAAATAGGCCGACCTCATCAGTGAACAGGTCGACCGTTTTGTCCAAGTTGCGGTGACTTGCAAGTCACCATAGCAAAATCCTAAAAGTTAATGTAGGCGTCGTTTGGAGGTTAGGATTTTAATTGATGTATTTAGTGAATACATGTAATGTGAAGATTTAGTAGTTTTTTTTTAATTGATGTATTGATGTATTTACTTGTTCTAGGCACACTTATAATCATTCATAACGAATGATTGACAATCTCCACCTAAAGTAGAGATTGTAAATGAATGGTTGGGTGCCAAATTTTCATTCCAGATTTGTCCCTCATTATTTTGCTTTATTCTATAAATGTTCTCATAAAAAAGGTTGGAGAGGAGAGAAAGAATAATAAATGAAGGGCATTGGGTCTTCTGGCCCTAAAAAGTAAAAAGTGTTTTGTTTTTATTTCCATAAAAAGTAAAATTCAATCCTCCAAAAAAAAGTATTCTTCAAATTCATACATTTTCTAAATGCATATAATTACAATGCAACAATTTATTAAATACATCAATTGAGAGAATTCCAACCTCCAAATGACCACGTAATTTTAAGCCATATATTATTTTGATGATAATTTGATTGGGATTGATTTTTTTCTTAGTTATTCTCGAGTCTAGGAAAGGGAAAATTAAATAAGAAAAACACGATAGTCGACAAGTGTGTGAACCATTGCAGCATATATACGAGATATACAATGTTTGTCTTGAAACAATATGAATTACCATATTTAGTATTTGTTATAATAGTTGTATTTTTTATAATTTTGGTGATAGTCTCTCAATTAACCTGCTATTAAAGGCGAAATGTTTTAAGTTTCCTTCAGACATCTTTGATCCATTGATGTTTAGATGAGTAGTAGAATGATAACAATAAAGGGCAAAGTCTCTGCTTAAGGAAATCAAACAATCCGTCTTTGTCCGAGAATGATTTTTCCCTGGGATTATTTATTGAAAATAAAATGGATCCTAAAATTAAGAGAGCCCTGATTGTTAGTATGAGAATGAGTATCAAATAGTACCCTACGATTTCATCAGGAGAAGAAAGGCAACAACAATTTATATTTGGGCTTTTACCGATAGTTTAATGATTTATCAATAATTATATCACAATGACTATTTATACGCTAGCAGTAACATGTGATTGTTGGCTGCAGTTATTGTGGTTGATTCTAGAAGTAACGGAGACGATCACATTGTTAAGGGTTTTGATGACTTTTGTGTTGGACCTTCATAGTCATAGTGCACAAACTTACCCGAATCATAATACTATTGCAGTGTCTAGGAGTTAACCACTTTTTACTAATGGGGCCTATGGAAGCTTTTTCTCATCTGTCATGCCAGCATTCCCAAACTCAGTAGCTAAAATAATTGCTCTATTATGGACCATTGGTTGATTCCACAGTAAGTAAATTACATCATAACTAAATGTGCAAGGGGGTATTCAAAACATGCTGCCTATCAAAAACTTTGCTTTTTTTAACCTGTCAAAAACTCTGATGGACACGCATTACCTCTGTTATTTTGTAATCTATGGATTTTCATTTTTATATTATTGGTTGGTATATATGTGTTTAACAAAATATGCTTAATTTGTTATTTTGTTCTGGATTAGATAGCGACCTACCTAGCTAGGCTTCAGGAGCCTAAAGAAGGACACTCTTGTTTTGAGAATGGTTTGTTGGGCATTGCTTTTCCTTGCCCTAAAACACCTTAATTTGTCACCCTAACATTTAGTACAATCTCTCAAATATACTTAGTTAGAAATTTGGGCCAAAGGGTAAGAGTGTCAATTTAGTGCATTTTAGATCGATAAAATTTGAATATAAGACGACAAATATTGATTCATATGTTTGTCCTATGTACACTGCATGTTTAGTTTTTTTTCTTCTTCTAGCCCTTATATTATTGATGAGTTTCCTTTTGTTTGTTTGTTGTTTTATATTTATACTTGACTAACAATTTGTTTACTAATTAACCTTATTTGGTTTGTCCTACGTGTGTGTATATATATACTCATGGTTGCACATTATTAATTTTGCTATAGTTCTTTGCTTAGCCAAGCTAAGTACAAGGAAAATTACCATTAAAGAGGACTCATATGAAGTTGTCAAACAACGTGCAAACATTTGTTCAATTGTAGAGCAATCTTCATTTCGATTATCACCTTCAACCATTGTAATAAGTTTGCAAATCTTCATTCTTTCGATGGACCTATCTTTAATGTATTCTTATTTTCGTACATTCACATTACTGTGATTTATTTCTTCAAAAATTATATTTACATTTTTGTACATTCTCATTATTGTGATTTAGTCCTTAAAAAATTATATATATTGTTCTTGTTAAATTACTATATTGTTGTTGGACATATCTGTGATCTAAGAGTCATCTAGGCGTTCACCCTTACACAATATATTGTCCAACTAACTATTAGTGAAAACTTGGCATCATATGCCCTATATATTTCAAATCATGCAACTTCATATCCATTACGCATGTTGTGATCAACAACGATGATCTATATAGGGGAAAACACTTTAGAGGAATTTTACAATGCTTTAAAGCATTGGTGCTTTTGTTTTTGCCTTTATATTACAACTTGAAGTTGTACCTCTAGCGTTATGACACAACTTTAGGTTGTACCTATACTATTTTGTAATATCCCTTTATGGTACAAACTAAAGTTGTACCTTTATGTTATGGTACAACTTCCTTGAAGTTGTACCACAATGAAAATGTCAAATTCCCTTATGGTACAACTTCAATTTGTACCTTTAACGTTATGGTACAACTTCAAATTGTACTTTAAAGCACCGATCCTTTAAAGCACGATAGAAGTGCTCAACACTTTAGGGACAATTAAACTCTATTAGAGACCAATAATTTTCTTTCATTCTGAAAGTTGATTATGTACGCATTATGGAAAGCACCTCAAACATTCAACTATATGGTATACTTAAGTAATGAAGGATGATTCATTTTTTTGGACGAATAGCAATGTTTATTGCTTTTACCCTATTCCCCTGTTATTATATTGTAAGCATATTATGCATAGTTGGACCACTCTTGAACATTTAACTTGCATAACCAAGGTACAAAACACTTATGACATGCATTTCAGGGCATCTATAATCTATGTTATTATATACGATACTCCCTAGCCAACATGCTATGTC